AATATTAAAAAATACCACGTCAGTTCACCTCCACGTATATTTTCTCATCGTTCCTTATGTATGAAATGACAGCTGATTAGTGACGTCATATTCATAACGTTATAAATATATACATTTGCTGCTTTCGTGAATCTGCAGCTTATCTGACGTTCTTACGGTGAAGGAAAACATCGTGATGCAACCTGCATATCTGCGAAGAAATTCAAAGATATGTGTGAAGTCAACCAACCCGCACTTGGCCAGTGTGGTTGACTATGGCCTAGTCACCCCTAACGTAGGGTAGGCTCCGAGTCCGTCAATGGGGACATATAGTTAGCTGATGATGATCATGATTAAATAAGAAAACGTGGACCAGTTACTGCTTAAAAGGAAAAAATACCCTACCGAGTCAATCGGGTAATAAAACTATACTCGCATTTGACTTGGCACATCAGGAACAAGAGTACTAATATGCGCGACGTGCCATCTCAAGCACTCACCTAGACTAACTTTTAATTGACTCGTATGCTAATACAAAGCTGTTTCCTCTCTACTTCCTCCATCAGCTCAACGCTGGATAATGAAATCAATAGATTTTGCGCTCCAATAACTTGTAAAAAGATAAGAGAACTTAATGCGCCTGTTGACCTGAGCCTGACGGAAAGTACTATAATGTGATATTATTGGAAATTCGTTATTTGATGTGAAATATAGAATATATTGATAATTTAAAATCACTCCGAATTCCTCACTTTAGATATTGTCCAAATTATATCTAAGTTCTGTCTTTTTTTTATATTATAATATATCATAAGGTGGCAAACGAGCGAGCGGCCACCTAAAATCGCTGAAATAGCGAAGTGACCGTTGCCCATAGACATACGCAACCCCGCATATGCGTTGCCTACCTTTAATCGACAGAGGAGAGGATGCACAGAAAGAAAATATTTTCCCTTTCCATGCATCCTCTCATCCGGAAAGTCCACTTCCACTTCCCATTCTTTCCTTATAAAGAAAAGGATGGGAAGGGAAAGAGGACTAAATTAGGCCTCCGGGACGCACACTCATCAGACGAAACGCGGAATTGCTTCCACTTCACGCCTGTCTTCTGTGTGGTCGTGGTATTACACCGGGCGAGCCGGGCCGATTCGTGCGAAGATGTTAAAGCGGGCTCTACCACTGTCTACAAAAAACGAAGCTGTATTTCAAACGTATTAATTAAAATTAAATTGAAAAATAAAATATCAGTCATGCAAAAATCCTCAAATAATAATAACCAATTCAGTTCATTTTAATATAATAATACTAAAATACGTTGAAATATAAATACGAAACTCATCTGTCGTGAAGGCAAACATTTAACTTTTCGCTATTTCAGTAATATCGATCTGTCCCAAACATATAAAGCCTAACCTAATAAACCCAAGGTATGAATAGAACAAAATCAACCTTTGATTCAACTCAGAATATCCGCGATCAATTAGAATCCCGTCCGTCTGAGTTATTTATAGTCAGCTATTTAACATCTCCCAATCAAATATGTCCTACTTTAGTTCAATTGAAACCTTTACAAAACCATACTGTTATCTTTATCTTATTCAAAGAGATTGAAAGAGATGTCATTACAGGTGTTCCAGTCGTCAAAACAGCTCGTATTCGAACGGGCGTTTTTTTAAACGTTATAACGCGGCGATGTCGACTCTAGTGCGATGAACGGTTTAAAATCAATCTTGTTGACTTCACCCAACGCTCAAAATGCAACAACGCGTGATAAAAAAGCATCGCGTTTTAAAAGTGCTGCTTATAAAGAGATAAATGGAGATGCATATGCTTTTTAAGGCGTTTATATCGCGCGTTAAAAAAGCGCCCGTGCGAATGTTGTGATCGTGAAACTATAATGTCTGTTGTATACATTCAAAAAAACTCGCTCATTCAAAAAAACATTCGCTCCCACAGAAGCTCGAAAGCCAATAAGTCAATTCATTATTTAATTTTTACGAGCTCAAAGTACTCGGTCCATGAGTCCTATGAGCTCGTAACAAAAAAAAACCTTATTAGTAGCCTATATGTTCAGGCTGTGTTCTACATCTATGCCAAATTTTAGCGAGATGGCAGCCGTTTTGGAAATACCTTCTAAGCATTATCAATCCAAACATTCGCATTTATATTAAGTCTTACGTTATTATTCTTGGTTACCTTTTGAGTTATGTAAGTTTCAAAAGGCAATGAACATAATGTGGTTAGTTTTTAATGCCAACCGCGGCCTCTACCTAGTCTGACTCATTGTAACGCTAAGTACACGTAATTAGGTACAGTTGTGACGTCACGCGCTGAATTTGCTCCCGAATTAGGCTAAGTATACATGTAGCATGTATCACTACTAAAATTGGAGAGTAATTTGTAATGAAAATTATTTCGTATGTGTGTTTATGGCCTTATTTTTTAATAGAAGTTTGTGATCGGAATTGAACTAGAATACAGGTGCACAAATATTAAGAGGAAAGTTTTTCAAAACTGGAGTTACCGTCATATGAAGCTTGGTTAATTTTAACATATTACCTAGGATACAGATACACAATTGACTAAAATATGTCTAAGCCGTATGATTAATGCGTTTTTTTTTAATTCCGGGGTAAATCTACATATGAAGCTGGTTTAGTATTGGTCAATTTCAATATATTGCTTAGGATTATTACTAGCTGTCGCCCGCGAATCCGTCCGCGCGTAATTATAAAAACATAATTAGTGCAGACGATGTTCTATATGTATGTCAAATTTCATCGAGATCCGTTGAGCCGTTTTGGAGATATCTTTAAACATTCATCCATCTAAACATTCGCATTTATAATATTAGTAAGAAGTTAAATTATTATTAAATGATATAACTTATTTAAATTGACACACTTGAGGGCACATGATAGATATATTACTGAATTTGATTGCGAAACTGTCAGACTGAATAACGCAGCGATGCGAGCTCTACATTAATATTCATCGAAAGTCAATGAAAATGCAAAACCTCTCGACTTATAAAGACAAAAATATTTTCATAAAAACTTCGATAAAATTCCATTGATCCGTTACAGAATATGTCCTAGTCCCGAGATGGCGAAGCAACAGCGCGCGACACAATATTAGGCATGTCATTGACTTCATTATAATGAATTCACTAAGTTTAAAATAAGTATTATATGCCGAATGAGCATGAGTGATTCCTACGCTACAGAATGTTCGTAATCATGTCAAAATTATTTAATGGCATGTCTAGACGATTTAAAAATTAACACGATGATTCAGGGTTCGCCACACCTGCCTTAGTCTCCTGGAGAAAAATATCAAATTAAAGTCGGAATTTTATCTTTACCTAGGGATATCCTGCGACTTCATCAGCGCAGAATAATAAAAATAGCCTATAATATGCCCATGTGCATCACCTACCTTCCTGTCAAGACCCGTCCAAATCGGTCCAGCCGTTCCGGAGATTACCCGGAACAAACGCGATCTTACGGACAGACATATAGCCAGAGAAAAAATATTAAATATACATTTTTCTTTATCAGCAATTCAAATACGTCACGTAAACAAAATATGATTTATTTCCGACTAAACATAGACACTCAAATTTTATTAATACGTATAAAGACTACAAGGTAGAAGATACTCCTTCATTGAATGATTTGAAATTTATGAACAAAAAAATATAATAGCAATATTGAGAGAACGTAAAAGTGATAATTTTAATTTTCTAACCTAGAAAAGTCAAAGTGACAGTTGAGTTTATTTACATAGATAATAAATGCATTGATAAAGCATAATAATATATAATAAATTCAATAATACCGTTCATATTATATCTTCATTGATGAGAAAAAAATTTATTGATTTCTTTCATTACTTCTAACGTTTTCTTTCCGTTATAAATGTGTTAACGAAGTTGTCCAGCGCATTTTTTTATCGCATCTTATCGAATGTGTTAGAAATATAAATGAAACACTATTCATATAAAATTATTAACTCTATTTGTCTTTTATCGCGTTAAAAACGAGCAAGAATTTGTTGTTAATTGATTAAATTATAATAATATTTCCGTCAAGATCATATGAATAAGTTGGAAAAGAATTTCTTTTAAATTTTTATATGATATTGCTATTTTAAATCAAATAAATTTTATAAAACGAATTATCAAAGAGAATGCTGAGGCCTCCATCTTACTAATATTATAAATGCGAATGTTTGGATGGATGTATCTTTAAATGTATATCTAGAACAGCATGGATGAAAAAATAGGCTCTTAATTAAGGTTTCTTTTGTTAATCCACGCACACCGAGTCGCGGGCGACAGCTATTTCTCTATTTTCACATGAGACATATTTCTTTGATGCAAAAGCATTTCGTAAATGAAGCGAATCTATGTTACTCTGTAATAGGTAGCTTATCGTATTTACATTTTAAAGATTTCACGTACGAAAATACTATTTTTTGTATAAAAATCTTTTGTATGCAATTTAAATTGCATCCAAATATTATTTATTAAAAACACGCATAAAATACTCGCAAAAAGCGTATAAATTTTTATAACCCGAAATCGGCGATCGGGATGAACATCAATTTCCCGCCAAGTACACGTCAGATATGTTTTACAGATAACATATATTTTTTCATTTTTAAAACGGTCAATTTTTTTTTCTATTTCGCTTGTTATTTACATGCCTAAGTAGTTTGCAAGTTTCATGGTGTGATGTTATATCGGTACAATTAGAAATTCCGCACTAATCATACCACAGATAAGAAAAGTTTAGCAACTAGCTCATGCGAGTTTGTAACTATAATTTTAAATAATTGTTTTTGAGTCAAAAATAATTATTTTTTCTTTTATAGTTTACAACACCCACTTTATGAATAGTTACTTTATGAGTTGTTAAAAATGAATATTATTCTTTTTATGGAATGGCATACGTCAATCGTAACGAAAATATTAAATTTTACACAATAATTAGATTGCAAATAATAAAATCACTTACTTGCCAAATAGTGGATGCCATAGGTGGAAGGAAGCAGGGTCGTGCGGGTGCGGCTGGGGATGCGGCGGGGGCTGCGGCGGTGGCTCGCCCGAAGTCGTGCTGCCCACCTCGGGCTCCTCACGGCGGCGGCCCAGCGCGGCCGGAGCGGCGCTCGCTCGCCGAGCCACCACGCTCGATGCCGCCGCCGCCGCCGTCGGCTCCATCAGGTTCTGCAGCGACTTGACGGTGATTCGCGGTCGCGGGGATTCTTGCGAACTCGGCGAGCTTCTTTGATGGCTCGCCTCAGACTGCTTCACCGATTGCAGATAATTATTGTTCGGATAGTACGGCGACGACGGACTCTTCTGGTGCCCGGTCCGAGGCGATCTCTGGCTTGCGAGAGCCGGATTGAAATACGGTATTTGTAGACCCGGCAGCGGCATGTTGGGTCGAATGTTAGGCGTCATCCCGGAATACATGCCCTGCAGAAAGGGGTTGTGGGGCAAGGGCCGCTGGTTATTGTAGTTGTGAGCTATGGGACTCGTTCGAGCGGACGAGTGCGGTTTACCTTGATGGCTCTTTGTCGAGTGCACATAAGGGTTCTGGACGTCGCTAGCTTTAGACAGCTCCTTCATTTGGGCCTCCAGAGAAGGTTTCGATCTATGGGGAACCGGAGGGTTCGCTTGGTTCATCGCCTCCTGCCACATGGCAAATTGCAATCGATTATCATAGTCCATCGGAGGCATCATCGGGAAGCCTGACGGACCCATGAATCGTGCCGAGGGATTGAACATTTGGGACAGGTCGTTGTAATTGACCCCCGAGTATCCGGAGGAGTTTAACGCCTTTAGGAAGTCCATGTTCTGAGAGCAGGCCGCCATCGCCTCTAGCTGGCTGAGGTAGGGTAGCCACAGCATCTGGTTTAGAGCCGCGGAGGTGGCAGCATCTATATCACCGGCCAAAGCGTCCATAGAAGGTATCGGCTTGGGTTGGTTAGTTTGATCCGGCTGGGGCGTGTTGGATTTTTCTGCACTCGAGCTGATAGCTGTCGCCGAGCTCTTCGGCGGGGCGGACTTAGATTCTTTTAACTTTGGAGATGTAAGCTTTTTCTGATCGTTTTCTATAATCATTTGCTCCAACTGTGACAGCGCTACGACGCTTATGTCTGGATCTTGCAAGACCGCGGGAAAAGCGAACGCCGCCGGCAGCATTAATTCCGGTCTTTGAATCAATAACCTTGGGATTTCCCTGCCAGGGGCCGCAATAATTGCATTAAGTTTATCCTTAGGGACTAAAAGGGGATCTGGAATGTTAAATTCGGAACTCGTTATCAAAAGATGTAGTTGTTTTAATGGGGACATGTCGACTGTCGGTTTTTGGGCGACTCTATCGGACTTTTTAGATTTATCGACGTTTTGATCTTCACTGCACTTATTAAAAACTTTAGTTATCTTGACGAGGTCCTCGTTAGATTCTCTTCTCATTTTTTTCTCCTGCGGCTCACCGAAATCTTTATTAAGTTTTCGCATTTCATCGGAACAGCTCGAAACCGTGGGACTTGCCGATTTCCTATGTTTACCCAAATTCAAGGGCTCGCATTGCTGTTTTGTTATCGTGACCTCTGATGTGTACATTTTAGGCGATGGCGAGGAAAGCAACGTTTCCAAAAACAAGGTCTGTTTACTTTTTGTGAGTGGCATAGTAAATATTTCCGGCGAAGATGGCACGGCGGGAATACCGCTTGGTTGCGGTGACTGCATCGCATCCGACTCTCTTGAGGGCGCCCGCGGTATGTCTGTCCTGCGCGGCGACGCATGCGGAGTGGGCAGCCGTCGATGCACACTTAAATCTTTAGGTTGTTCGTCACTTTTGTCCGACAGGTTGTCTTCTATCGCGTTTGTGGTGTGAGCATCGCTAGCCACCACGTGTTGGCTCATATTCTTATCGATACTCTTTATGCTCAGATCGGTGGGCATTTCATCGTTACTAATATCATCCATGTCTTTCATATTTTCTGTAACGTGTATCGCGGGCGCCATCGCCTCTTCGTTGCACGTTTGCTCCTCGGGCACGCACTTCTCCTCCATCTGATCGGCGACATCCGTGTCGGTGTCGTGGATGGGTTCGTTCACATCGCTGATATCGGAGTACGCCGGCTCCGTCAAATTCGGTCGCTGCTCTTCAAAAGATTTTTCAACGTAAGTCCCATTGGGATCAGGTACGGGTTCAGAATACATCGTATCATTTGATATGACGTCATTTTGTAGCATCTTTTCGGCACTATGATCAAATTCTATATTGTTCAACTCATTCGTCCCTCGTATGTCTGCGTTGCCGCTTATGGTTTCCAGGGAACATTCGGTTCGATCCTCGCGTGGGAAAACTTGATCTGATATGAATGTCGGCTCAACCATTTGCCGGTGCTCGGGCGGTTGCATGTGATCGCCTATGTGGTGCAGATGCAGCAAGCCCTGCGCCGCGGTGATGCTGCTCTGCCCCGGAGATTCTAGAGAATGCTCCAGGCGGTCGATGATGTCAGCCACAGGGGCGTCGCCGAGCAGCATGTCCTCTTCCTCGTCGGCGTACTCTCCGGACCCGTGCACGAGGTGCGCCAGCTTGTCCAGCGTTTGCCCCAGGATTTGGTTGTCCTCGCATCCTTTTTCAACCAGAGACTCCAGTAAGGTCTCGTCGTGGGGTCCATCCAGTTCTGGGAGATAGTGCGCCTCGCTGATAGTTTCGAAGAGGTCCTTGTGGGCGGCGACGTCACTCGGGTACGATTCGTCGGTGCGCTCGCCGGGCGCCGGCGCCTTTCGCTCGTAGAACATCTCCTCGGTAGACTTCGGCTCTCCGAGCTCGAACGACATGTCGTCCCGCGCGACCTCCTCTGTGGGCAGGAAGCCTTCCAACTCGAGAAGCCGTTCCTCGCGCTGCTGGTTAAACTCCAGCTCAGCGACCGCCAGGAGATTGTCCAGCGGCGTAGGCGTCGGCGGCGCGCGGGGCACCGCTATCGTGTGGGATGGGATGTGCGACTCCAGATCGGGGGTCAGCTCCCAGTCAGTGGGGGGCGGCGTGCGGGCGCGCCGGCGGGACCGTGCGTAACGCCTGCGCCCGCGCCGCTCGCGGCGTTCGCGCGCCTGCGGGGGCGGCGGCGGCGGCAGACGAATAGAGTTGTAGATCTCGGTGCGCGGGATCACGCGCCAGCCGGCTGCGGTGCGCACTATGCGGATGCGATTCCGCTGATCGTAATCCTCACAACGGACCTCCTGCACTTTGCCGTCGAGCTGTCGCGCCCAGAGGAAGACGGGTCGCAGGAGCGGCAGGGGCGCGGGCGGGGACACGGCGGCGCTGGCGCT